TCAAGATAATCGTTAACACTGTTAAATTATATATTAATCAAAGAAAAGAAAGGTAAATTAAATACAGTGTTTGAATAAAGGACATGGTGTTACACCTTGTAGTATAGCTCCAAAAGAATGTTGTCTATAAATGAATAAATAACATTGTGTAATAAAATGCCTCCGGCGCCGATATGTTGCTATCAAGTCGAGTGCCATAACTATTATACCACAGAGGCTTTAAGGTTGAACAGACTCAAATAACCATCATGTACACTTTATCACACAATGGGCGCTGTACGGCTGGAAATAAATAGTGGCATATAATACAAATCAAGATAGCCGGTAACATTGTTAAATTATATGTAAATCAACAAAAGAAGGCAAATACAGTGTTGGGATGAAGGACATACTTGTACATCGTATGGCATATCTCTCAACGAATAAATAAATACATTGTGTAATAAAATGCTTCCAACAGTATTCGAACGTAAGTGGGACCTCTCGCTGTCAAGACCACAGAGGCTTTATAGTTGAACAGATTTAAATAATTAACTATATGCAAATCAACAAAGAAAGGCATATACACTGTTCTGGAATTCATAAAATATATAAAATTGGGCGTATTATATATTCATTTAAGCCTAGGATACACTCAAATTTACAAAGATTAAAATAAATATATTTTTTTTAAACGGAATCACAAAAATCAAATTGGTTAGCCCTACATTGTTTTTCATCTGACTTATTCATCATATTGTATGGCTCGACATGGACCTAGGCTAGGCTTGGCTTAGCTGGCTCTCTCCTAGGCCTAGATAAGTTATGAGTTTCAAAGGTTGGTTAATAATTATATTCAATATAAAGGGGACGACTTGGTTAGGGGGCGACTTTTCTAGGGAGAGATTTAGGGGGAGACTTTGTTAGGGAGACTTTACAAGGGGCGACTTGACTGGATCCTGATAGATGTGGCACGAAGCGGATAGGACGGTAAATCTGATTAAATAGATTAGAATAAATGCTTACATCTTGCTTTCTTTTATCTGTACCTCTCTTGTCTATTTGTGTCCTCTGAATTGAAAAAAAAAATCAATAATACAAAATGAACAGTTGTGCTTCCAACAAATATTTTATTTTTAAATGAAAATTTAAACTTCTCTTTCAAACTACAGATAACACAATCATAAACACAAGAGCAAGAAATTATGTTATTGACAAACCTGTTGAATCCTCGAGTAGCATTTTTGTGCACTAATTACTCCGAAGACCCCAGCAATAACGCCAAGAAAGAACACTCCAATTGTCAAAATTGTGCTCCTAGAACATGCTACAAGATAAAGAAAAACAGTACAGAACATGACATACCAATTATAACTATGTTAAAGCGTGCTTTGATAGCTGCATCTAGTAAACAGCAATGTGTCCTCAGTAAAAACACCACCGATGACGATACAATCGATCTTTGATCCTAGATGACAATAGCAGCAGTACGATACAATTAATTTACGTTTCCAAATGACGATAACTCAACTTTAACTAAATAAAGTAGCAACCACTGATTTTCGTTCACGACAAAACTAACAGAATAATTATATTCAATGTGTTATAAATATTACTCATTCCTCCATTTTCAAATCCCCTTCTAGTACGTTTTGAACGGAAGCTGATTTTATTACCTCTAAGGAGGTTATGTTTTCATCGTTGTGTGTGTGCTGTCTCTTATACACATCTAGATGTGTATAAGAGACACGCGCGTGTGTGCCTGTTTCTTAGCAACATGGCTGTGTTAGATTTTTACAGATGATTTTCGACATTAAATGAAAGATTCCATTAATTTTCGTGACGATCCAGAGTGAGGTGTGGATGCCATGGGACCATTTATTGAAAAACACCCCACACTAAGATATCTCAAAAACTGATCAACTATCTAAATACATTTTTTTGGGAAGAGTTACCAAGTTAAAAGGAAGTAATTACTAAAGTTTGGTGACAAGATTTGGGTATGAATTAAAGGTAATTTAAACTGCTTAGGTCCAAGACCCAAAAATCTCGAAAACTGATCAATGGATCATAAACTAAACTTTCTGGAAGCGGTAACGAAATTTTTTATAATGAAGAAATTATTAAATTTTGATAATCATCTATATTAGGTTGTCATTTAAGTACTAATGACGCAGATATAAATATCTCAAAAACTTTCTGGAATGGTTTGTCATGGTCCATGGAAAAATTATCACGTTTTAGTGACGATCTGAAGTAGACTGTAGATCGAACCATCTAAAGGGAACGTTCTAGACCTAGATATCAAAGAAAAATGCTTAATGATAAATTCATATGAAATAAAATTTCTGGAAGGGTTTGCCATGTCCAAGTAAAATTTAAAGTAGGCCTAACACTGACCTAAATATCTGTCTGAAAATCCGATCAATGAATCTGAATGAATCTTTCTAGAATTGTTTGTCATGGTCCCAAAAAATATGCTTTCAATCGGATTCGAAATTCCAACGAAAGCCTCAATGGTCCGGTCTGCATTGACAGCTTGAAGTCCCGGATTCGAATCCCGGTTGGGGCAATTTTTAATTTACGCTCGTAGATTCCTCTTCTTTACCGTTACCATGTTGCATTTCTTGTATAAAAAAAAGTATCTCTTCGAAGATCTTGTCGTTTAAGATGCTTAAGAATCAGGTGTATCACGTTGATATCTGTGTTAACGTGTGTTCTTCAAATACTACTGTAGTATTGGCATACAGTAGAGGGCGAAATGAATTGCCTCCATTCGGATTCAAAAACGAAAGCCTCAGCGACCCATTGGTTATAAGGCGTTGGCATAAACAGCAGAAGGTCCCGGTTGGGCATTTTTTTTTTTGGGTGGCCTCCATTCAATTTTGACAGGTATAGGTTCTGGATCATCCCACTGAAACAAATTGCAGAGGGTATACATATTTAAACTAGAGGGGCCGCCAAGGACGGATTTTCACATATTGAGGGTCTAGACCACTTCAGCCCTGCCATGATTGAAGCTGAGGTAAGAAAACCTATTATTATGGCACTGAACCTGTAGTTGGCCGAGAATGGCACTCTCAGACATAAATTTGAATACAATTTTCTTTTTCTCTCCATTTTTTTAAAAATAAATTTTGTTGAAAAATGTTCAAGTGGGTAAGCAGAGGGCAGGCATGCTAAGCCCTCTTTAATCCACCCATTGATCTTAGTAAGGTAATTTTGGCGGCCATTTTTAAATTGATCTTAAAAGGTTTATGTACCTGATGACAAATCCACCGAAAAACATTGACATAGATAAAATTTTACTTTTCTTTAATAATTGTAATTTTTGGCAGTAATATAGGATTTTTGCGGCCATTTTGGATTTGAAGCCAAATTATTGGTGGCCCTTGATTGATCTTTAAAGGTGGAGGTCTGAGGTGACAATCCCACTAAACAAAGGTTAAAAAATCCTAATAAATATGATGTAGGCCTATATTTCTAATAATTACGGCAATTTTGGATTTTGGCTCCCATCTTCAGGAGGCAGACTCTTGGCGACCTCAAGATTGTTTTAATTACACTAATATGGGGTCAGGATGATTAAATAGCTGAGAAAACCATGACAGGAAAATGACAGTTTTCCTTGACTGGGCCATATGTCTATTAGGTGTTACTCCATAATAATGACATTATGCTTGTAGCAGTTGTTGAGGTCCGGGCTCTCAATCTTAAGTTGGGGTTTTCAAAGACACCTTGCATACGTTTGCCTCCCCAGAAGAATAAATCAGTACCTATATATTGATATGTGGCATTGAATATGTCAGTTTTGTGCACATTTCTACCGCTTATTATTTGATTTTAGTTAAATAAATACATACTGTAGAGTAATGATATTACTTCTTGTCACCTATGCACAATATCGGTTTGTTATGTGACTGTGTTTTAGTGATTATACAGTAATTGTCTACTGTAAAATATTATGAATTTAATATCGATAATGCTTGATGATGACGTTGATGATTACAACGAAGATTAGGCTATAGTGATTTTGATAATGATAATGGTAAAAGAAATATTTGTAGTTATAATCTGGTAAAGAAAAGATTTAGTATGTGTTTTACCATTGTTAATATCATCGGTCCTCATTTGTGTGGTCAGATCTTCTTCTGGTGGACCGATTGTTGAAGAGGGCGGTGTCAGAAGATTCCTTTCTGATCCATTAGGCCTACATGTGAGCCAATCTTGCAACTGGAAGGAGTTTATGGGGCAGAAACAGGAATAATTTACGGAATTATTACTCAATTCAGGGGCAGCTACACACAGATCAAAGCATCCACCGTTATGCCTTTCACAATGGATAGTAATTCCTGAAATGAAGAAGAGGCGTTTATACAGATTAAACGAAAATCTTATATAGACTAGTTACATTTTCCGCATAAAATTTGTCTAAATACAGTATTAAAAATGAGTCCACATTTTTCAGTCTTTACGCTTGAAATGGGTCCATTTTTAAAAATGGGTCCACATTAGTTACATTTTAGGCTTAAAATGGGTCCAAATTGGAAGAATGGGTCAACATTTTTTTATTAATACGAAATGGATCTACTTTTTGAAAATGGGTTACACATTTTAAATTGGGCCCACTTTTTATAACTATGTCCACCTTTTTCATTTTTTAATGTGGACCCATTTCTGAACTTTGGACCAGTGGTGGCGCCAGAGGGGGCTGGGGGTTATAGCCCCCCCCCCCCCCCCCCCCCCTCGGGGAAGACGATAAATTTTGTCGAGGTACAAACAAATAAAAAAACATATTTACATGTAATATTCGTTTAGCCACCATATTGTTTGTGTTAACTTTTCATCACAACAACAACAACAATAACAATAACAACAACAACAACAACAATAATAATAATAATTCAATGAGACTAATTAAAAATAATTTGCGTTCTGTTATGACAAATGGTCATTTAGATAGCCTCATGATGGTTGGAATACATCGTGATAGGTGAAGCAACCTCGACCATGACAGCGTGGTTGACAGATTTCATGCAAAATTTCCAAAATATAGAATTTCACTTTCAAGAATGAGGATTTGAAAATAAATTAGATGCTTACATTGCATACTCATTGTTTCTTGCTTTATTCAAAAATGTTTTGGTTTTGGAAGCTGATTTCAACATTAGAAAGCATAGCCTAGGCCTACATGAAGCCATATTATAGTAACTCGATGCCTATCAAAGTAATAAAAATTCGCCATAATTCATCAAATATTCATGGCTTTCACTGCTTTGGACCCCTTTTATGCGTAAAATGTAACTAATGTGGAACCATTTTCAAAAAGTAGATTCATTTCATGCGTAATAATAAAAAAAAAAGTTGACCCATATTTTTTCTATTTGGACCCATTTTATGCGTAAATGTATCATAATTACTATATGTTAGGCCAATAATTTATAACACTTACCATATTCACAAATGTATCCTCTCGATTTTTCATTAGGATTTATAACAGTAACTGGAATATCATACATATTCCCAGTGCTCACTCTGATCCTAACCGCACAATGATCGTAATTGCTCAAATCAGGCTGGCTATTACCCCATGGAATAGAATAATTAAACCCCTCTCCTGTTTCCCACTTCCAATTTGCATCAACGTTACGATCCAAACCCGCCTGGCGTGATAATCCGATCTCGTACAAACCGTCTGGGTAGTTCATTCGTACATACTCGAGTACGGATTTCAATTCATCGACGGTTGTGAAGCTTGCAAGATAACCACCTGATGATTCACATATTTGCTTTAAATTCAACCAGATTTCTTTTTCCTCTAGTAGGTAAACAGTATACTTCGACCTCCGATAATGAAACGAAAAGCCTTAAGAGGGATGAATTGAAAAATACATACATACAAACATACATACATACATACATACATACATACATACATATATATATATATATATATATATATATAAAATTAAAACGGAACAGTATGAGAAAATCCGATCAGAATGACAAAATAAACTAAGCATCCACTGGAAGGAATCCCAATATCTGCAGACGGATCCGTTTCGGCCTTCAAGGCCTCATCAGTGCAGCTAGGGTGTAGACGCAAACGAAACGTTCGACCAGCTTAGGTAAGGCCCAAACTAGTCCCACGACCACTAATGATTACAGAGCCAAACCTAATCATCATTATGCTACCGTATATAGAAATAAGTTCAGTACATCAAATTTGTGATGACGAGAAAATAAACGAAGAATGAAAATTAAAAATGCAGGTAAAAAAATATATTATTGACATCACAATAGTCAGCCATGATGGACTGACCTCTCTCATATGTTAGGACCTACTGTTTGTGTTTGTGCAGGTACTAAAGAGTTACCTAAACGATTGAGTGAGGGTGTTCTGTCTAAATGGCTGTAGGAAAAATGTCATTATCAGCCTGCTCAAGGATTTTTGCTAAGGCTTTATACATTCTGTGTGCAAGTTAACGATTCGTCGAATTAAATCCTCAGATAAGTTGCTTAACTTCCAGTGTTTCCGATTTGTGTGCTCAAAAAAATTACTATCTACAGAGTCGGGGCGACCAATTCTTATGATTATAGCCTTAAGTTTGTATTTGATAGACAGATCCATTATAGATTGTCGAGTATCATTACACTTATCTTCAAATATTCACAGTATGGAACTCGTAAATACTTTCTTTTATTTAAAAAAAAAAAATAAAACACTCAGTTAAAAAATACAATAAAATCCATTTTTCCATGGGAAATCAAAACCTTTAGGAGGATTATAGGTAATTGGTAATAAAACGACGTTCCGCAGACTATGGTCCGCGGCCAAAATTTGGGCAGCAAAACATTTTTGGAGGGCCGCGAAGCCGTCTGGAAATCGAAAAAAACAAAATAAAAGAGAGACGTTTCATCATAAAGAAAATAGTTTTTAATAAAGCTGCTTCATTATTACAGCGAATGCGTCTCTTGCACACGCTGCTAAAGTGCCAGATGATGCGAACTATTTGAGTTATAAGCGGTTTTTGTGTCTTGCCCCCTCGGGAGCTAGACACTATGTTATCGTCTAGTATTAACCATGTAAGATCGAGTAATCCGGTATGGAGGAATGATGGGATGAGTCATGAGCTAAAGATAAAATTAAATATAAGACCTGCCCTAGAAAGATCATTACAGTAAACAACACCACACATTTCTTGATAACCAAATGCCCATGTGGATACTTTATTAGGCCTACTAAACATAATACCGGTAGTCTTTCAAAGTTGCGGAGTAACATACTAGATCTAACATGTACGTCAAATTTTCAATTTATTCATATATTAATGTACAACATACCAACGGCGGCGGAACGTTTTTGAAAGTGGGGGCCCATTTTATAAGGTCCAGTATGCGAGCGAAGCGAGCATCTAGGCTGGGGGTCACGGGCCCCTGGTGGGGTTTAGGTATTCCCCGACCTTCTCCCTTCCCCCGATGGATAAAATTTACCCTTCCATGAGCCCGGAAATTGTACTTTAACTGTGGCGGGTCCAGGAAGTCGAAATAGAGGGGGTCCATGTAGGGACTTGCGCAGATGGAGTGTCCACCCAACTCAGTCCCACCATGTTTGGGTCTGAGGTAATACAAAAATTATGATTATGGCACCTGTAGGTGGCCGGAAATGGCACTCTCAGATTTAAATTTGAATACAATTTTGTCTATTTCCTCCATTTTTAAAATTAATTTTGAAAGAATAAGGAGGGGGGGGCGGGCTCCCCAGTGAATCCGCCACACTTGACATAGCTTATCATTTTGTTTCACAAATGACAAATTCATAATGTCAAGCGAAAGATTTTTTTATTCGAAAGATTTTTTTTCTATTCAATAAATATAGCCTAATACATAAACTGTAATCTGTAGTTAACCTTCAGAGAACTTTATTTTAATTAATGGCCTACTTAAGGATCTTGTTTTCGTTAAATTAAATGGAATTTAAATGTGGAGATATTTTAATAAATGGCCTACTTAAGGATCTCTTTTTCGTAAATTAGATGGAATTTACGCTAGTTCGATGATTTACTGTAAGCCAATCAGTTACACTTGCATCTGAAATGAGCTTTCCCGACTTCTGAGGTATCTTTTAATTACTTTTAAGTTCTTCAAAATTCAAGGTTTTCTCCTCCTGAAAATTATTATAATGAATCAATGAACCCAAAGAGAAAGGGAGGTTCAGGTTCTCCCCTGGAAAATGTTTATTTCTAAATGATGGGAAATGAGTTTTCCCGACTTCTGAAGTATCTTTTAGCGACTTTAATTTAAGTTCTTCAAAATTCAAGGTTTTCCCCTCCTGAAAACGATCAGGTAAATTTTTCCAATTGTCTTTACAGTAAATAGGCCTTATGTGTGTATACATACATAACAAAAAATTGAGTAGTTGATACGAATTATTTTTCATCATTCCTGATGATGACATAATTAATGTCGAAAAATATTGAATCTCGACAAGATGGCGTGTATTTCGATACTTGGAGCATGTATTATTCTATCTTATCTGAGATTAATCAGTGGACCTTTCGGTTATTATTTTCCATAAAGCGATAAATCCCAAAATGAATGGGGGTGGGGAGCGGTGGCTAAATGGCGGGAAATGAGCTTTCCCGACCGTCTGAGGTGTCTTTTAATGACTTTAAGTTTTTCAAAATTCAAGGTTTTTCCCTTTCTTGAAAATGATTCAATGAATCAATGAACCCAAGGGGTATAGTATCCCCGGGAAAATTTCGATTTCTAGATGGCGGGAAATGGGCTTTCGTGACTTCTGAAATGTCTTTTAAATGACTTTTTAAATTCTCCAAAATTCAAGGTTTTCCCCTCTTGAAAACGGCCTGGTAAATTTTTCTCATTTTTTATTTTATGTGTGTATACATACATAAAACAAATGAGTAGTTGCATGCGTGTTCTTTTTTCCATGAATCGATAAATTCCAAAAAGAAAGGGTGGTCCGGCACCCCGGTCCCGCCGGCCATGATTATAGCTATGATAGGTCGATTTATAAGGCGCAAATAAACAAGGTCAAGCACCAAATAATAATAATGACATTGCAAAGCGTTCGTTGAATGTTTGTCACTGGTGCCGGGAACGGTCACAAAAGTGGGTGGGGGGGGGGGGGGGAGACAGACCCCAGTAGAAAAATTGGAGGGACCAATGGCCCCTCCCCCCCCCCGCTTTGTCTAATGTTTATATAACCTAAAAATAAACTTATCATATTATTGTGATAGTTTTAGTAATTTATAAATTTGAAAAAAGAATGACTAAAATGAGCAGTAAATTCTGAATGCTTATCGTAGTGGGACAGTATCGTACAGGCAAAGTCATATCTTAGTCGTATAGATCTACATATTTATCGGATTGATAATACTAAATCACATACAACTTACCTGGAGGCAATAACAGGCAAATGATAATTGATTTTAGAATACAGCCAGCAGTGGGTTGCCGTGATAGCTCGGAGGTCCAGCACATTGTCCTGCTCGGAATAGTAACACAGTTAAACTTTCGCTATGTTAACAAGCAACTCAAGTGTGGTATGTTTGCTATCATAAACTCTGCAATTAAAATGATGACACATGCGGTCTTTGACTTACGTCCGGCATATTTTGGAACGTAGGATAGTTTAGAAATATATTCCACTCGATTTGCTTTATCTTTACATTTTACTGTTCCACGTCATTCTAAGCGAATCGGAAGTTTTTCTTTTCCTTGTCACGCTGCCAGACTGTGGAATAATTGCTCAACTAAACTTCGGGAAATATCTCCTCCCATTATCTTCAAACGTGCACTCAAAAGACTCAATCTTTTTTTCTTTTCTTTTTTTTTTTATATTTCCAACAAAACATAATAAATCAAATCCACATTACATAACAAGACGAAAAAAAATGTCACTTCACCCAGCTGGACACATAGTAACAGAGCATCAAAAGACTCAATCTTTGCCTAGTACCTCCAATTATTATTTTCCAAGAGTTGTGTCTGTTCTGTTGTAGGGCTACGTGTTGTGTTTTGATTTTGTTAGACATTTGTGATTTCTGTTTAATGTTGTATTACATGCTGTCTTGAGTTATTCCCTGAACTATGAGGCATGCGCTTTATAACTGCAAGGAATAAGCGCAATATAAATTCTCACACCAGACCAGTACCATCAAAATTTCATGAATTATTCATAATTTTCCTAATAGAACATATTTTGAGCATGCGCTTTTCAAGTCTGAGCCAGATAGATAATGATCAGCTGCTCCGTACATTACATCGCGATGGAACCTAGTTTTCAGCCCTTGTGGATTGGATTGGAAGACAAGCATGTTAACCGCTAAACTATTCACACCCACTCTATAAACAATCAGAATTCGCTGACTATATTATGCTAAACATTATTTTAAAGAATAGACTTCCTTATGTTGGGGTCATATTAGACTGAAATTATTATTAAAGGAGACATTCAACTAACAGCATTCAACTAACAACATGCAAGTATAAAAGTTAAAAGGTAAAAATACCCACGTCGGTAATTTCCTAAAAGAGTGACCTTCCTTTATGCTTTAAGCCTAAGGAAATAGTAAATCCGGATGCCGGATCTGAAGCTACGTTTAGAAGTTACAGAGTGGACTTCCTTAAATTGTGGTCATAGTTAGAATGTAATATCTTTAAAGACCATTCAACAAACAATTTTAATAGAGATATATTTATAAATAGAGATATGAAGTAAAAATAATAGTATGGTAATAGCGAGGCAGGCCAACTTGGAGACTCATAACTATGGCGAGCTGAGTTGTCATTTAATCGTAAATAGACACATCTTAGTTTTAAATAGAGATATCTTAGTTTTAAATAGAGATATCTTAGATTTAAATAATGATATCTCTGTTAATAGAGATATCTCTATTAATAGAGATATCTATTTAAAACTAAGATATCTCTATTTAAAACTAAGATATTTCTATTTAAAACTGAGATATCTCTAATTAAATCTAAATATCTCTATTAATAGAAATATCTCTTTAGAGATATCTTTATAAATAAAGATAGCTCTATTAATAGAGATATCTTAGTTTTAAATAGAGATATCTTAGTTTTAAATAGCGTTATCTTTATTTTAAATAGAGCTTTCCTAGTTTTAAATAAGATATCTCTATTAATAGAGATTATAATAGTCTGAGATATCTCTATTTAAAACTAAGACATCTCTATTAACAATGGGATATCTTGGTTTTAAATAGAGATATCTTGGTTTTAAATAGAGATATCTTAGTTTTAAATAGATATCTTAGTTTCAAATAGAGATATCTCTATTAACAGAGATCTCTATTTAAAATTAAGATATCTATGTAAAACTAAGATATCTCTATTTCAAATTCGGATATCTCTATTTAGAACTAAGATATCTTTATATAGAACTAAGATATCTTTATAGAACTAAGATATTTCTATTAATAGAGATATCTTAGTTTTAAATAGTTATCTTAGTTTTAAATAGAGAGACTGTATCAGCATGTTCCCGTACTTCCGAGTACCCATTGCATTAAGCTCAAATAAACATCAGCAATAAATACCGTAGCATGCTTTAGAAATCAATCAATTAAAAATAAAGATACACCTCGGCCCAAGCCATGCAATAAGCTCGGCCTAATCATAGGCCTATGGGCTAGCCAGCCCTACAGGCCTAGCCAGCCCTAGGCCTAGTCTATAATGAGAGATAGACCTAGGTTCAAGTTTAGTTTAGTTAGCGAGAGTTTAATACCCTCTCTCTCTCTCTCTCTCTCTCTCTCTCTCTTGATCCACCCTTGATCAAACTGCACAATAATTTCTCACAAGGACTGCAGAGACACTCAAAACATTAAATACAAAGACGTCCTTTAGAAAATGACATGGTAACCATAACAATCACAACGATTGCCACCTCACCTCCCCGTAACATTCAACAGTACATCGACACCTTTCCCCACTATTTTAACACCGTGCGGAGCACGGGTATATGCTAGTGTAATACTAGAAATTGCAAATTGCAAGTGAAGTGCTGCGAAGTACAACTGCATATAAATGTTCTTCGAACAAAATTATTAATGCGAGTCAAGTGAAAATAATGAATAATAAAAATATAACAAATAATATGAGACACGACCCATTGTCTATATTAGAACACTTCTCATTGGGTAACAAAGTCGTAATTTTTCATTTTTGTCAAAAAGTGTCTATATAGTGGTGAATTATGGTTTAGGTTTTTTTAAAATAAAGTTTCAAAAATGTCTATGTATGTGGAAAATGTAGTTGATTACCAAAGGTTACAATTTTTATTTTGAAGACTGCATGGTCTAGGAAGTGTACATTCTTTTATGGGGCAAGTTTCCAAGGGTGGGTTTTCCATGGGCGAGTTGACTGCCAAAGAGTGTTGCCAAAGTGCGAGCCAGCGTGTTATTTTTTTGATCACAAGTGCGAGACATCGCAAGTGTGAGCCAGTGAGCCATGACGTCACGACAATAGATACGAGACGTTACTCGAGTTGTGCGAGGTATCGGCAGAGATTTGTGGAGTACAATTCAAAAGACCACTATTTGTCTAATAATGAATTATTGTGATGTTAAATAGACAATGTTAGCTATCAAGGAGCGACGTTGTTTTTCATTGGGACCTTCATCCCTTCAAGGCTAGGCCTATACCATCCTAGCTAGTTTGGGCCTAGAGTAGGATAAGGCTAGTGCGACATGCGGACGTTGGTACTGTACGTGTTGGTTAGTTTACAAACGTCACCTAAAGTAATTGATTTTAGCCGGCAGAACGAATAGGCCATGGGGTGAAAATCCTAACGTTCAGTCCCGTTCCGAAATTTTCCTAATATTTTCACTCATTATGATAATTATTATAATAATATTTAAAAGCACCAAAAAAAAAGTTCGACCGTCAGAACTTCTGCAAATACGAGAAAATGACGTTTAAACTTACGAAATTGATGTCTCTTATACACATCTGATGTGTATAAGAGAGCTAGATTAGCACACGACATTTTGTAAACGTCACTGTACTCGTTCGAATATTGTATTTTTGATACGTAGTTTATTATTTGCGAACTTCGTATTACTGCTTTAAAAACAAATTAAAAAATTATAATTAGATATAATTTGTATTTTAATTACAGAATAATATTTTTTAGACTACCATTAAATTGATTTTGTTACAATAACTTCACGTGTTGTGGTACAGCCAACAACAGTAAACAACAACATGGCGACTAGCGGCGGACAGTGTGCTGGTGTTGTAATAAAGTGTTGTTTTCACCGCGAAGAAATTGCTAATGAAACTCCAATTCTAGTTACAGCAACCAGATTCTTGAAGATTGTTACTTGTAACAAATTATGGATGGTTTTAGACAGTCATAACCGAACTATAGCTGACAAACTTGTGTCTTAACTAGGCTAGGATGTGCCTCTTGGTTGGAATGATGAGGGAAAGACATACGATTACGAGGATGTGATAAGACTTCCACCCTGTTTATACTGCGTCCTCTTTCGGTTTCGAATCACTAGGCGTTTCCCAGCCGCTTGGCGGTATAACCAGTCTTCAAAGCGTAAATCCATACCCTTCCCATCCTGCACCGTCCTCTTCTCTAAACTGCACGGCGGTATAGACAGGTACAAATCAAAATATTGGTATATTTTGCTTTGCTTTTCGTTAACAGTGAGTAGTTTTGCTTTTGGTTTTGTTGTCAGATAGATTATGTCTACATCTAAGAACGTAGGTGCTGAAAGTGTTCCTAAAGCCTTGGTTTCGGCGAATTTTGGAGCTACATTGGCTCAGCCTTCTGCCGCGAATTCACGCCTCCCGTTTGCGGGTCGTGATGCGGAGAGGGGTGCTTCATCGTGCCTCCATTTAGTGGGTCAAGATGCAGTAGGCCTAGATAGTGTTCGCCTTCTATCAGTGAGTCGGGCACATGTGGATAGCCCCTCACGCCTCGGTTTGTCCGGTCGTGAGGGAGCTC